CCCCCCCCCCCCCCGTACCTTTGTTCCCCTTCCTGCAATGTAACCTCCATTTCACATTGCATGATATCTTGGATAAGAGTTAAACATTCAATGTTATATATGCATTTTGGAGCCTTATCACTTTTTGATCTTTTTGACGTAAGAAGATAGTTAGATTAAGAATGAAAAAGTGGGACCTTTTTAACCTTTGGCCTACAGTTGGTAGCTATTTTCTCTTTAAGCTATTTGGATATCATTTTTGATAAACTGACAGAAAAAGTTGTTGCCACTATAGTGGATTTCATGTTGAGGCTTTTGTTCCGTAAGAGTGCTTAGATCAACTGTTATGACTTGAGATGTTTGCTGTATTCAGTTGACGACTACATACGCTGTTTGGAGAGGGGACGTGCTGCCACTTCCAAGTTGTCTGATTTTTTCAGGAGAAACTTGCAATAACAAGTCGAAAGTGACTAATCCAAGTTGAGTTCAATTGACTTGGATCAGCAAAAATGAGATCTCTCACTGACTTTCCTAGTGCATTGACTTGTTCGTGTTGGATCTTTGCTGGCATAAATTGAACGTGGATGTGTCATGATCGTTGTAAATTTTGATGTCATCTCGATGGCTTTGGCTACCAATCAAATAGTTGAGATGTGGTTTTCCATGGAATGTCAGTGTAGCATATTCCCCTTTCAATTTGCAGGAGAGACACCCGACGAAAATCTAGGTAGCAAACTAATCTCTTTAATTGATGCCCATGATACCAGTAAAAATGTATTCTGAGTATAAGTTTGCATTACAGCTTCATTTTTGATACTCGTCACAGAAGCTGGTTAGATTTTGATGATTTTTAAGAGAGGTAGTGTTATAAAGTATAATTCAGAAACATCCCCTCAAATTTGATTTGCAATATTTTATGTACCTACCTGATTTGAATCTTTGAAAAATTATTTTAAATCTACTTATCTGCAAAAAATCTAAAAACTAATGTGTCTTAGCCTCCAGGTTTGGAACAGACCTGAATCAATTTGGCTGCAATGGGCGGGTTGAGCTTAATCCATAAAAATATTTAATCTGCTCTGCATAAATTAAAAATATTTTATTAATTTATTCTCCTGAACCCTATTGCAAATAGAAGAAACCATGAAAATCTTATTGCTAACACACATTATTCATCTTTTTTTGTTAAACTCCTTTTGCACTTCCTTTGTCGACTTTTTGATTAGTCAAGTGTAATTTTTTTAAAAATTTCAATCAATAGTTGAAATTGATAATTACATTTTTTTTAATTTCTTCTTAAAATTTCAAGCATTACGACAAGCATATTTAAGTTATAAGTTATGTCAAGTTATCAACTTCTTGAATTACGTACATATTCTATGATTTTTTCTCTTAGCTTTATTTAAGGAACAATGGTCTTAAAGATACTTCAACTTTGGTCGAAATTGTTATTACAACTTACAATACCAAACTTTGGAAACAACCTTTTACCCCATATACTATAATAATGTATTTTAAAGGTATATATGTGTCAACGTTGACATAAAAGATATTGCATCATTTTAAATAGTAATGTGGCCGTGTGGGCACATATATACCTTTAAAATACACTATTAATTAAATAGTGCAGGAAGTAAAAGACCCTCCATTAAGTTTGGTATCGTAACAACAATTTCGATCAAAGTTAAAGTATTTTTCAAACCCTTTTTACTTTATTTAAAGTATTTCAAACTATTACTTATGGAATTTTGTTAACAATCCATATCATAGCTGCCTCAACAAAATAATATTATTCAAGTTGAATTAATATAGCCTTGTCTAAAACTAATTTTTTTTAAAAACTCTTTGAAAATTCATTTTTTTTAAAAAAGAATATAAAGTAATAATTTTAGGCCTTCGATTAAATTTTTATTTTATATCTTCAATTATATTAAGTGGCCCTTAGTGAGGATGGGAAAATTGGGGGATAGAAGTGAAGATATGACTAATGCTTTTGATGACTCAAAGCAACCACACACACTTGAATTATTATTGTTCAATGCAACAACATATACACAACAGCTCATGTGACCAAGAACAGCAACCATGCATGTTTTTGGTGGTTAAATACTGTGAGCTTTCAAATTTAATTAATATAAGTATGTATGTTATTACTTAATCATGTAATTACGTAACATAAAACTAATTTACTAGCTAACTCGATCCAAAATTTAAGAGGAGATCGACTTATCATGAATCATGATTATTTTAAAATTGTAAAATGTGCAATAGAATAGTTTCAAGAAATAACTGCCCTATAATAAGTTTGTACATGAGTGCATCTCATTCTTTTAGTCATCTAGTATTCGGATTATATTAATTTGACTAATTTAAATTTATATCGCGTAAGATTCATATATAAGTTTATATATCAGTGATTCTTGTTTTCTAAATATATTCGGTACATATTACCCTGATTATTGCGATGCACAAGACCCATTTAAAGGGAACAATTCCCTATTAAAAATATTTTTTATAGTATAATACGAACAGAAATTCTCTAATTTAGAAATGGAGATATATGACCTATTAATCTAATATATATGTTGGTGGTATGTAAGACGGAGATTCAAGAGTTATGGGCTTATTGTTTTGTTGTAGTTCGATCTTTGCATTTGTTCTTTTCTTTTATTGGTAAAATTTCAAATCAATCATGCATTACTATGTTTTGATTTTTATTTCAACCTTGATAAGACTAAAGATATAAGAGATAAGTATTAAAAAAAAAATCTTAAATTTAAGTGGATTATTACTCTGGTCTTTCAACTATTGAAAATCTTAGAAGTATTTCCATACTTAATGAAATTATTAAAAATACCTTCTTATGTGCTATATGTCATCCGTGAAAGCATATACTTAGAAATTTTTGTTATATGTTAGATCCATAGGTGAATATACACGAAAAATGATAAAAATTGAATAATTCCTAATTATTGACTCGTAAAATAGCTTCTATTTACAAAATAATCTTAAAAGCACATTGATACTTGCTATTTTTCGTAATTTGACCCTCAATATTTTAAAAAAATAGTCAAACACAAATTTCTTATCAAAAATATTTTTTCAAATGAATTTGTAAAACACAAATAAATTTATCATGAACTCTCGATGTATTTTCGAGGAGTATCATGTATATATGGTTGAGTGAGTACTGGGTATTCATCACCTCATTCATTCTTGATGATTATGTGTTTTATTTGGTGGTTGGAAAGTACTTGATGTTTGATAACCTTTATTGATGAAACTTGAATAGTAAGTGCAATATATATATATATATATATACTTGTATAATTTAAGAATTTATTTTTTTTTTATATAAACTCCCTTCACTACTTCTTCGTTGTCAGTCAATGAGACATACTGGGTAAACGTTGTTTCGTACTTATACTACACTTGTTGCACTCTTTGTGGTGCAGATTCAATTTCGAGTAGGAGCACATCTCGAGGAGCAGTTTGAGTCCGAGTTTGGAGTGTCTTGGAGTTGTGGTGAGCTGCTTGGCTGGTCCGTGACCCACACCTCCCTCTATCTTTTACTTATTCTGTTATTCAGTATTCAGACAGGATATCCCTTATGTTAGATTTGTCATTTTAGTTTCAGACTTGCATCGTATTTTAAAAGCTCTTATACTTATGACACAAATTCTTGGGTAGTACGTTTTTTTTCCCCAGTTTTTCGCATTTGTACTTATAAGGAACTCAGTGTTGGAGATTTTGCTAATTGTTGTCTTTTCACTCATTAGTTAGTTAAGTTTGTTTAAATATGTTGGTTGGCTTACTTATTGGTTGGGAACATAGGTGCCATCACGACTCGTGATTTTTGGGTCGTGACAATTTGGTATCAAAGTCCTACATTCATCGGTCTCACGAGTACAAGAGCAATGTCTAGTAGAGTTTTGCGGATCGATATGAAGACGTCCATACCTATCTTCGAGAGGTTATAGGACATTTAGGAAATATTCTGTTCTTTCATTCACTATCGTGCACACTTGATCTTGTTGAAATTATAATCTCGATATCTCATTCTCTCAGATGGCAAGGACTCATACACCGACAAGTGCTGGTCGGGATCCTATTTTTGCGCCTGCTTTTGGGAACACTATTCGAGGTAGAGGCAGGGGACGAACTCGAGGTCGGGCTAAGGGCCGTATTGCAGCACTTGTGGAAGGTCAAGTATCAATAGCTACCAAGGGTTGTAATAGGACCATACCTCCTGATACAGAGGTTGTTCATGGGGATGTGCAAGATCGTGTCAAGGGGGATGGGCCAGCTCAGGCTCCACCCAGTACCATTGCCACCCTAGTGCTTCAAGATACCTTGGCTCGTATGTTAGGACTTTTAGAGGGGATGACTCAGGCATGAACTTTTCCTATCACTTCTGATGGCTCACAGACTCGTGTTGGAGGTCAGACTCCAGAACCGTTAGTTGCTCCAGATTTTCAGACTTCTAGGACTCAGCCAGCTGTTGTTGTAGCTCCTCGTTTGGATAGTATGGAGTTTCCAGATATCGCATCACATTTGGTGAACATGTTTTCTATGACCATTGATGAGCAAAAGATGTTTGAGAAATTCAGGCTAATGAATCCTCCTACTTATACTGGTGACTTAACTGAGGATGCAAATGAATTTATAGTTAGTTGTCATGAGAGGTTGCATAATCTTGGATTAGTGGAGTCTCATGGAGTTGACTACATAACGTTTCAGATGACTGGCTCTGCCAAGCAGTAGTGGATGGATTATATTAGTCAATGGCAAGTTGGATCCCCTCCACTATCCTGGACTCAGTTTACTCAGATATTTTTAGCCAAATTTGTCCCACGCAGTGAGAGGGAGTGCAAGAGGGCCGAGTTTGAGGGTTTGCAGCAAGGTGGTATGTCAGTCGCAGAGTATGAGAGTAAATTTCATGCCTTAGCTAGGCATGCTTCGATAATACTTCCCACAGAGGCTGAGAGAGTGAGAAGGTTTGTTAAGGGGCTGATTATTCCGATTCGCCTAGGAGTTTTTCAGGTTGCTGCTTCTGGTGTTCTGTTCCACAAAGTGGTAAGAGTTGGAGATGATTCAACATGAGGGATTTGAGCAGTGTGAGGGCAAGAGGACCCGTTATTCAGATGATTATGGTGGTGCTCCGCCTAGGAGTCGAGGTTATGTAGGGAAAGGTTATCACTCTCAGTATAGCAGACCCATTCATGCTGCTATACCTGCGTCTGAGGCTGGTTACCCTGGGAATAGTTCTAAGAGCTCGATGCATACTTCACAGGGTTCATTTTCTAGACCTATAGTTCGTGGAGAGCATTCTGGTCATTCAGATTCCTCTCATCAGCCTGCATCTCGTAGGGACTGTTTTGAGTTGTATACATTTTCTAAAAAAAGAGGGATTGATACTTCATATAGTATTACCAATTAGTTAATCTTTGTGAAATGAAATATATAGGATGAATTAATTAAAGCAGAATATCACATGTTCCCAAAGAACACATTTTGTTCAGGAACTTCCTTTGTTCCAAAACTTTGAAGGCATCGATGAAGACGACGGTTGGATCATCACATTTACACATAAAGAAAATGAGAATATTTCTCAGGTAAGTAGAATACAATTAATTTAGCGCACTTCAAAACTATCATATTTGAACTCATTAAATTTAAATCATCGATTTACTTCTAATTTCATTTCTTGTAGGTTTGTATAACTGATGCAAAGAAATTTACGGAAGAACCAGTTGCTACTATACGGATTTCATGGAGCTTTCGTGCCATTAATGTCTTAGAAGTATACTATATGATTAATTAGGAATCTAATATAAGCAATTCAAATTATATATAAAGTGGCAGTCTGGTGTACTAAAGCTCCTGCTATATATAGGGTTCGAGAAAGAACCCGATCATATATAAGGGTCTATTAATTGTATGCATGCTTATCTTGCATTTCTACTAGAGACTATTTCCAATGCTTGAATTTTGACCTCTTGGTCACATTGCAGAAATTCAAATTATGTATGAGATCAATCTAATATATGTTCAATCTTTATATGTTCTATGTTCATTTAATTACCTTGCATTCAATACTCTCATGTCCTAATTTATGTGATAGTCTGTGAATTAATTTAAATATTCTATGTTCACGTACATATTAAAATAATTAACATTTTTTAATTTCGAAAAGCAAAAAAGAGGCGTATGCTAAGTCGTATATATGTTTCGTCTTCAAATATTTTATTTATTTGTTATAGAGTTGTTCTCTGTCATTCATCTTTCTTGTCCTTTACCATTCGTTAACATGGAGAGGACAATAAAATTTTGGGTCTTAGCTTACAACTAAACCCTACACACCAGTCCCATACAAAAGTTCGAAATTATTGTATTCATATAGTCATTTTCTTAATTAGAGTTGTGCATTAGTCGATTCGATTTGATTCTAAATTTTATCAATTTGATTTATTATTTATTACTTTATATGTTAAATTGTTATAGAATCGTTAGCATATTAGCTTATAAATTATTGATTGTTAATCGATTTTGTTATATATTTAACTATTATAAATTGAGACAAAGAAATTAACTGAAAATAACTTTAAAACAACATTACAAACCAAATGAACCATGCACATGAGTTGACAGTTGCACCCTGCTCAAAAGTAAACACTATCATGGTAGAAAACTGAGAGTTTGAGACAACATGAAAAAAAAAAACCAAACATACTCTACGAGCCTGTTTAGATTGAATTAAAAAAGTAGTTTTTAAGTCAAAAACAAAAAGTAAGAGGAGACCTACTTTTGATTTTTGACTTATTTTAAGTCATCTTTTTGCCTTGCCAAACACTTCCCAACTTATTTTAAGTTATTTTTTACTTATTTAAATTATTTGTCAAACACTTTCAGAAGTCAAAAAAACTGATTTAAAAGTTGGTTTGACCAACTTTTAAACCAAATTCAAACAATTTATATACTAAATGGTATAAATATAATTATTTAATCAAATTATTGATCAACCTATTAAAAAACCTCAAAACTTTAAAAATCGATAATCCAATAATTAAAAAAAAAAATCAAAACCATTTGTAAAAATCACTAAGTCCTTTATTTGTCCTACTGTTTCTTGCTAATAATTATTTTAACAGGATTCACAAATTTGATGGGCTAGCCATTAGCATTTTAAAAGTTAAAAATATAGTATATGAATTCCACGTTTCATGAAATTAGTTGTAACAAACATTTTTTCATAAAAAAAATTGAGAATATTAGCTCTAGAGATTGAAATTCCACGTAGATTTTGTCCAGAGTGATGAAGAATCTTTCTCTAGGTAGATGCTAAAATTACAAATTGTAATTTTTTACTTCTTAAATATATCATGTAGAGTAAATTTCTAATCACACATATTAGTGAGAAAGATATAGTTATTTAAAGTAAGATTAGGAAATTTTAATTATAATTTGGAATGTTAATTCAGTATATACCGTTCGATTCCATTGTTCTTTTTTTGGCTTAAAAATTTGATCTTATATATACATATGTTCTATGTTTAATTAACTTGCATTCAAATTTAATTTCTAGTAAAAGTACAAAGGTTTTATTAATTATTTGTTATAGATGGCAGTTCTTTTTCTGCATCTTTTTGTCCTTTACCAATCGTAAACACAGAGCACAATTTTAATTTTTTGGGTTTTAGCTTACAACAGAACCCTACATTCCAGTCTCATACAAAAGTTCAAAAATTATTGTTTCCATAAAATCATTGTCACAACTTGCAGAAACATAAGTTGTTAGTAACAGGAATATATATTCCATATCTAATCCTGATTGATATATTCATGTATTAATTTTATTAATCGGACATAAGAAAAAATTAAAATGAGGACTTGTAAAATTTATAGTCTTAAATACATCATAACATTTTGAAAGTTTTTGCTCATAAATATGTCATGATATTTACGTGACTATAAATATTATAAATTTTATCCTCATTAAATACATTTTCTCATTTTAAAAAAAGGCCTAAATTCAGACCCCATTGGGCATTGGGTATTGTTGTTGATATTATAATAATTCATTGTTATATAAAATTGACTAATAAATTTTGTTGCTAATTGTAGTTTGGTGAAAGTGTTTTATTCAACATACTCCGAAGGCAAATTAGCTTATAATATTCTTGGTTTTGAATTGATAACTAGCCATTGGTGCATTTTTCCTGTTATAGCTGACATTCGAAAAGCTGTGAAAGAAACTTCTTTCAGATTATTAGATGCCTTTGTGGATTTCGTATTTGAATTTGTTGATCAACCATTACTTCCATCTCACGTACATTTCCATTTAATTGTTCCAAAGTCAAAGAATTCGAGAGATTTTCCAAAGGGTCTGAAGAGACACGTTCCACAAAAATAAATAATGAATCCTTAGAAGAATTGTTCTTTTTTCGAGTTTGTGAATGGAGACTAAACATGAGAACAGGGGAAGTGAAGGAGAAAAATGTCATAACCAACTTCTTTATGGAATTCCCTATGATCAATGAAAAGTTCATTGGTCTAAAAAACAAATTTTGTTATCTACAAGTGGTAGATAGAGAAGCTAGCTCTGTTTCAGGTTACCATTATGATTTTTTTTTTTTTGGTTGCTTATGACTCTATAATTTGATGAGTTGGGAATCAAAATAAGCCATAAAAATATAAAAGTAACTAAAATAAGCCACTATTTTAGTAAGTAACTAAAATAAGCTTAGTGGAAGAAAAAGTTTCACTATATCCAATTTTCTAAACGTTTTTGATTACTGTCATAACGTTTATTTTTAATATATAACGGAACTTTTTCTTCCACTTTATAAAGTGGAACTTTTTATTCCACTTTATAAAGTGGAAGAATTTCTTCCACTTTATAAAAAGTTACCTTTCACCTTCACCTTCTCTCCTTTTTCTTTTCATGGCTTCCAAAAAAAAATTCACTTTGAAGATGGTCATCTGCATAAAAAATTCACTTAAAAAATAAGTGTTAGACATAGCGATAATCATCTGAATCAAAAGTAGGCGAGACATGAAAATTTGAGGATGTCCCAACATTTTCCGTCATTTCAAAGTGTAAGGACTAATCAAAATAATTATTTAGTCCATAACTTGGAGCAATATCCCTATTTTGCTGAGGTAAACTGCTACAAAATATATAATAATAAGAATAATAAATATTATAAATTAATAAATAATTGACTAAATCAACAAACAATAATTGAAATATAATAATTGAGCATTACCGATCACTATCATTGATAGTTTTGTTTAAATCAAAATCATATCGGCCGGTAAGAGTATTTTGATAATGAGTCATTTTAGGAAAATCAGTAGATTGAGTTATCGGAAATCCATCAATGCTATTATGATTTTCTAATTAGGGATGAACATCGACTGATAAAGGAGAACGTTGTTGACTAATCTTAGACTCCTTCCTAACATAGATTCCAAGTATTGTTGACTTGATTTGATCTATATAGTAATTTGGAACCCTTAAAAAATCGGTCAACGATTCGTCATTATATATAATTCACTCTCCAAAATTTACTTGTCCTTGTGATGAAAATGAAGTAGGGCATTTTCCGGCTATAATCAAATTATAATCGTACTGTTTATACCCATTCATTTATAAATTGATGAAATAAATTTATGATATCGGACATTTATTGGATATTTAGCATTGTGTTTGTGAGGACAATTATAATAAATGGTATTTTCGTCATGTATAATTTCGTCATCCGAATAAATTGAAACTTTAACTTTAGGTGTAGAAGATATTTTTTTTATATTGAAATGAACAAATATAGAAGATTTATGTTGTAGGTGCTATCGACTATGTATAAACGTCCTTAAATAGATTTTTCATAATAAAATAATAAAAATATATAATGAAATATTTTTTTCCATTTTAATGACATATCAAATCAATATAATTTATATGACAATACTGAAAAAACTTCTTCAAGACGTGAAAAATATTCTTCTGACGTGAAAAATATTCTTCTTATAAAGTGTAATAAAAAGTTCCACTTTATAAAGTGGAATAAAAAGTTTCACTTTATAAAATGGAATAAAAAGTTTCACTTTATAAAGTGGAAAAAAAAACTGCACTTTATAAAGTGTAAGAAAAAGTTCTGTTATATATTAAAAATAAACGTTATGAAACTAACGGAAAACGTTTATATTATTGGATATAGTGAAACTTTTTCTTCCACTAAGCTTATTTTAGTTACTTACTAAAATAGTGGCTTATTTTGATTACTTTTATATTTTTGTGACTTATTTTAATTTTCAACTCTAATTTGATATATTGAATTTATGATCAGATGGATTAGTTAAATTTAGAGGTCTTGCCAAACTTGAATTTGAAGAAGATGAGGAATTGATTAAAGTTGAGTATCATATGTTGGCAGAGGGCAATTTTTATAGTGGAACAACCTTTGTTCCAAAACCTCAAGGTGTTGATGAGGATGATCGTTGGCTTGTGACATTCACACACAATGAAAATAAAAATGTATCTCACGTGAATTGTCATAGTTATAATTGAATATAATTTTTCGAAAATCTAATGTTGGTAGGTACTACTTTACAAAGTGAAAGTCAATTTTGATGTGAACAATTATTATTTCTTGTAGGTATATATAGTTGATGCAAAAAAACTTTGCAACACACTCTATTACCACAATCACATCACCAAGTAGAGTGCCTTAC